CACATGTGTGGTTTCCTGGCTTGCTTGCTGCCTTTCCTATGGAACAAGTTTTTCAAAGTTAGCATGTGAGCTTATAGAAAAATTTGCTCAGTTGAGCAAAACAATCACCAGACTTTTAACTGGGTTGATAATTGCCCAACACCTAAAAGATATTGGGCAATTTTTCCTGTGAAAATTTCCATTTCATGTAAGTGTATGGCTTTAAAGGAATTAGCGTTTGACAGGTTTGCAGGGTTCTCTGACTCTATAATGACCGGGCTCAGTTCCTTACAGGCAATTAATCCTCTAGCTTCTATGTTGCTAAAAATTTCTGAATGACCACTTTCTCCTATCTATAACACCTGGGATTGGATTGGGTACTACATAATCCAAGACTCCTCTAGACTCTAGACCAGGCTCTTCATTGATCATATCATTTATTGGTTCCCTCAAACGTATTTATAATCCACATTCATTGCTTTTCGTTCTGTACTTACCAGCCTACACTAATATTGTGACAGTCTTTTCCAGCCTGTTTGTTATCTTTAGCACTTCAAACACAAGGCATTTTTTTAAGTCTGTTTCCTGATTTTTCATGTAACCTTTCCATTTTGTGATCACCTCTCAGCTTCTATTTTCCATTAACCTCAGCTCATAAGCACAGTAAGCAGATTTGCACTTAACAATATGTTACCTTCATCTAATTCAGCAGTTCTCAACCTGTGGGTCGCGATCCCTTTGGGGATTGAACGACCCTTTCACAGGGGTCGCCTAAAACCATCGGAAAACACATATTTTCGATGGTCTTAGGTGTAGAGACACCGCTCCTCTATCTGTCTCCAGGCGGGTCTACTCACAAGCAGATATGCCCACATATGAGTACCCGGCATGAAGACTGTTGCTCATTCTACACCACGCTTCAAGACAAAATTTCATGTATTTGAGGAGGGAGGGGAAAAAATGAGGAGCTGATACCAAGGGCTCAAGTAGAAAGCCAATGTTTTGAGAATGATGATGGCAAAAAATGTACAAATGTGCTTGACACAATGGATGGATGGATGGATGCATTGTGATAAGAGTTATACGAGTCCCCAAAGTGATTTTTTAAAATTCATTTACTTGTAATTAGAAATAAATATTTCACAATATATAATTACATATTGTTTTTGTGATTAATCAGTATACTTTAATTATGTTCAGTTTGTAACAAAATACATCCTGTATATCAGATTTTACATTACGATGCATAACAGTAGCAAAATAACAGTGATGAAGTAGCAACAAAAATAATGTTATGGTTGGGGGGCACCACCACACGAGGAACTGGATTAAAGCGTTGTGGCATCAGGAAGGTTGAGAACCACTGATTTTGTTCATCCTGGGTCGACGACTTTTTTTTTGGTGACTTTTGTTTTCTTTTTTTTCTTTTATTTATTTTTAACATTTTATTAGGGGCTCATACAACTGTTATCCCAATCCATACACACATCAATTGTGTAAGCGCATGACTTTTGTTTCCTTATAACTCTTTTAGCTTGTGTCCTAGGTAACAAGATAATCTTTAGAGCTCAGCTGGGTTTTAGTGGAATAACCAGTGGACTCCAAAGATAATTATTATCCATACTTTCTGATAGGGTGGAAACGAGAGTTTTTTTTAAGTCTGTAAAACACACAAAGTTGATCAGCGGTTTCTGATTTTTCCCCCCTCTCTCTCTTTCCACAGGCACCGTGTCTGTTCTCTATTTGATTTTCCTTGTCACCTTGAAGGCTGTGCGCTTGGGATTCCATTTGGAATTTCACTGGTTTACGCCAACAGAGTTTTTTGTACCAGGTGAGTTGGTATAGCCAACAAAAGTAAATCACAATGTGATCTTTAAGGAAACCACTCTTTGATGCTATTCAAAAATAAATGACGCTTGTATGCTGATTATTTTTGTTAATTCTGTGAAACTAAATACAAGATAGCAGGTAAGATTATTTTGGTATTCTTGAAATTAGAGGTAAATAGGACCTTTGGTCATTTCTACTTGGGAATTGAAATTTGCTGAAGTTTTATCGCAATTAGAAAATCAAGGACTCATTCTCTGGATTTTTCTGAGAAAATATGCCCCTAGATCCCAAAGACTTAGAACACGATCAGTGATTAATCTATGCAAATAATAACTTCTCCTGAACATCACTGTGGTCCTTATGGGCTTTTCTGTTTTTCAGGCTAAATAAGATATAAGATGATGCTTATAGATTTTTCTTTTTTT